CAATCCCACTTTGTTAGTCCAAATGCAAAAATGTCACTTACACAAGATCGTAACCTCTTGGTTCAATGGTTCAACCCAACTGAATCATTTTTCCAAAACAAACAAATAAAAAAAAAATTTGTTCTATTCAGATAAAATTAAGTTTTAATTTGCATCTACAATTTCAACTGCTTTTGCTGACTATCTCTACAAAAAATTAAATGGGAATTTCTGAACACCAGCAGTGCAATAAACTTAATCTTGTGTTTATTTATTTCTTGATATCCACCCTTAGAGCCATGCCCTGAGTAAGGTTCACGCTTCAGTCATCAGGTCCTGCAAACTTACACTTCAAGAGGCTTCCTAACCTTTATGTTGTGAGTCCAGCTTCCTAAACACACTTGTGAGGATGCTGTGAGAGGACAGCCAACTAAAATTAAGAGGAATCTGACTTGTTTCCCTGCTGCTATTTAGAAATCTGTGGGCAGTTGCCACATTAGCCACAATACTAAGTCTGAACAGGTGCTTGGGAAAACCAAACAGCAAAGTAACATCAGGGCAAGCGGAGCAACTATTAAAAGGGAGATAACCACCTTGCTCCTCACCCTTCTCACATTAGGCAACAGGCAGGTTTTTATCTTTCCAGCAACAGTGGGAGGGAAAGTCATGAATACACTCCTCCAAAACAGGAACATGGAAGCTTCAAGCAGGACTCGGGGCAAGAGCTGCACTGGACACTCAGTTTCACGACCCGGAAAAAAAAAGCTGGAGGTTTCCAGTGCGCTGAGGTATCTGTGCAAGGAATTCTCCATTCACTTTTTCCTAAAAAATAGCGAATGAAAAGGCATCCCATCTTCTGGCTAGTGTGCAACACTGTGTTGAACTCTCTATCCAACTCAACACTTCTGGTTTCTCACACACAAAAGTCAAATTCTGCATGTCTGAAAATGATAAATGAGCCCCCAATGCATCAGTTCCGATCAGTGTCTGAAAGTTAATACAAGTTACATTGCTATTTTATTACCTATAAAACTGGTTTTTTTCTGAAGACCACAGCAGCGTGAACAGACCATCCCCAGCAGCACTCGCAGCTGTCCGATGCCGTACATAACCCACAGAACAAGTTCCCTATCAAGAACTCGCGCAAACAAAGCTTTGCTTGGCAACCCCACCTGCTGTTCCCTACCCCAGCACTCCACCCATCCGCACCCCACGAGAACAGAGCGGGACATGTGGAAGCCTCCACAGCTGGAGACACACTGCCCTTTCCCTGTGGTTCAGCCACCGACAGCACCGCCGAACCACTGCCTTCCCCGACACCACAGCTATCAAAAGCTGTGCCCCTTCCACCTACAGACCTGCTGCTTCACACAGAGCCACGGCAGGAGCTCAGCCCCAAAGAGGCAGCAGGCGGATGCTGCTGGCTGCCAGACAAGCCATTTGTTTGTGGATCGCGTAGCTTTGTCACTGCCAAGGCCACAGCCAGACCGACAACAAGCTGAGCAGGTCCACTTGGTACAAAACTGCTGCTGAGGCTGTGCTGTGGGCAGAAACGAAGGTGCCAGGCCAGGACCAGCCTGCCCTCACAAGTGCTAGGAAAGAGATGATACACAAGGACTTTTCTCACAATTTCTTTTTGAGATTCTTCCAAAGACCTGGGTGAGATAAATCTTGATGCAATCTTAATAGTAACCACAGAAAGTCAGCAAGTAAACTTTAACGAGTGCTTTTCCCTTCTTCAATACAGACACAGCACACCGCTGAAATCCCTCCTGGCTTCATCAGTGCTTTTGGACACACGAGAGATGGATGCACACCAAGTCCATCTTAATCACTGTTGCACATTTAATCACTGCTGCAAAGCTACTGTGAGTAGCCACAGTGAAACCAGATTTCTAATTTAACAAGAACAGAGAACTTCAGCTGGCATCTGCCAGAGGTGTCAGCCTCTGCCTCCAGCACACGGCAGCATCCTCCCCTCTCCTGGGCACTGGAGCCAGGAGCACCTGCCCAGATCAGCCAAAGCAATGACCATGCTCCACCCAGGATCGAAGCAGTGGGACACTCAGCCCTTCCCATCTGCCTCTGCACAGCACCACAACTCTGCAGCCGCACCACCATTCAGCTCTCTTGCAGCTACCTGCTGGGAGGAGTGGGACACATTCCTGGGGAGCCCAAACACACACCTATGCCCTGCATGGGTCCTTGGTAACACTCCCACTGGCACCCTGGTTCCTGCACCACCGCCAAACCTTGCAAACCTAGCAGGGAGGCCCCTATAATCCCCAGGCACAACTGCAAGGACTCATGCATCTCCAAACCTAAAAAGCAGAAGACCTCTGCCTCGACCTCCTCATTAGCCCACAGGCTAAAACATGAGCTGCTCTTTGCAGCACTCCCTGCAGAGCAGCGGTACGGCAACGCTGTCACAGTCCTGTCTCAGAGCACACCAAAAAGCCCTAAAATCCTCTGCGCCAGCACCAAGACATTTCTTTGATGTCCCCACGCCAGTTTCCAACATCAGCTTGACCTTAACCCATAACACCGCACTCACGCCCACACACCCGAAACTAACATTTAAACTTCCAGTAACTATTTCAGCAAACTGCACCTTTTATCAAGCATTCTTGCAACACTGAGAGCGGCCCAGGGGATGGCACCCCTGCCTGCCGCGCAGTACAAACGCAACATTACACGTGACTCAAGGCAAAATTCACACGGGTCAGACGCTGCAACTAGCATTTGCAACGTGTTCCGTAACTCAGCAGTCTGCAAACCCACAAACAGAAAAATACTCTGACGCCATGAAATTATGTGAAAGCAAGCAAGGCTATTGTTGAGAGGTCTAAATTCACTAGACAAGTATCTGCACCTGGGAAGTGTTTAGGGGTCCGCAAATCAGTAGAGGTTGAAAACTGCTGCTCTAATTCAAAGCAGACTCTTACAGACCTTTTCCACCCATTAACTTGGGAATCCTGGCAATGTCTTAACGACCATAAAGGATTTAACTCTGATTTTACTGAGCAAAGACTGCATTGCACAGCACAGATGGCTCCATGAAGACAGAACAAAACATAGGTCATATTTTTCTGGTATTAAAAATGGCATTAACTTTTTTTTTAAGCTCCCAGGACAAGCCGCCCACTCCCCCCACCCCCGATTCATTTTCTTTCTTCAGGTGTTTCTATTCCCTGATCCTTTCTAAATGCCAGAGAAAATAACTGAAAAAACAATCAAAAATTACTACATACAAAAACAATGTATAAGAAGCTGTCAGCCACAGGCAAGAAAAACAGGAGTATATGCTAAGCAACTAGACTGAAAGTCGACCATCACCCATAATACTAACTTTTGAGTTAAGAATGTCTTTTTAAGAAATATTGTTTCAATTATAACTCAGAAAGTACCACTTTTTTTTCTTGGGGCTTAAGCTTGTTAATCACATTCAGGGTTGACACCTCGTCAATGAATTACAGATTTGTTAAGTTAACATGGGGAAATTTAAAGAAAACCTAATAATCGCTACACACCACAGAGTTTAACCCACTTCTGGGAATAGGGTGCAGCGAGGTGCAAGGAGAAGCTGCTCTACTGCAAGAGGCAATCAACAAATCCATGACTTCAGGCACAACAGAACTACCTTGCCCTGAAGTCAAACACTACTGCTACAGCTTCAACCCGAGCCCCTACCATTGATCTCGGCAAGGGCTCAGAAGAAGCTGCAACAGCAGAACTAGCATCCTTGTACCCTCAACAACATAAGATATGTTAGGAAAAAAGGTTCAAGTTCTGGGATATGCACTTTTTCCAAAATAAATCGCCAGCACCTAACTACAAAGACACCAGAGACAGCAGGCCTTGAGAGGCAGCATGCATCCTAAAAAAGCACCTGTAAAAGCTGATTTTGCTGCTAGGGTTGGCCATTTTTTTCCTATAGCAATAGCAGGCGATGTACTAAGTACACCACACTGTACGGAGCAGAGCTTCACTGCTGAGAAGTCTACACTCCTCTGGCAACAACCTTCCCTAGAGACTTGAAGTATTTATGACTGCGGACAGTATGTTAACCAGGACATCGCTTGAACAGAGTCTCTCTTAGCCAAGCTTTAAAAAAACCAGTTTTAAATATAGAAGGCAAAAATGACATAGAGGTTTCTACCATGATATTCAGCAAAACCTCACTATTGGGACTGTCCACTCTGCAAGAAAACACCTCTGGTTTTACTATGCGCACACAGACCTGTTCAGCTCCAAAGAGCTGCATGGCCCCATATGAACTGTGAAGGCATCAACCATTCAAGTTTGACTTTGCATGACAGGAAGCCAGAATATCCATATTTACTAGAGAAACCACATTATTTTCCATAACATCACCTAAACAGACAGAGATTTTGCACTTAATCAGCAATACTTGATTAGAGAACAAATATAAATTAAACAAGGAGAGTAAGAGCAATCACAGCCAAACGCTAAAACAAATAATTCCAGGATCCAATCCGCTGCACAGGAGAGCTCCAGATCCTACAGACTGTTCTGAAAACTGCAATCACTCAAAGCAAGCTGCTCCTCACACCTCGGGCACACTGTCCTGCCGTGGCAGCATTGTGGCAGCATCGTAACGCCCACCACTCACACCACCACAGGAAAAGGCAAGGCAGCGCTATCACATCATGCAAGCGCCAAAGTCATTAAAGACCTCCAAAATTTATGGTCAAGCAGTAACAGAGCCCAGGACAGTGCCCTAACTGTGGAAATACCCCTTCTTCTTGACGCCCACCACAGCTGAAGTCCTTTGCGGGTACATTTAGATCTGCTTGAGACACGAATGCAATTCAGTACAACGGCCCAGCAGATGCCCGCAGCCTGCGTGGCCAGTCGAGATGCAGCTACATGTCCTTTTCTGAGGAAAAAAAAAAAAAAAAAAAAAAGGTGTTCCCAACAGTGTAAACCTTAGTGGCAAAGTGATGTGTGTGCAAGATCAGATGCCCAGGGACAGCAGTCTACACAGCGCCTGCTCTCACCAGGTGCACGTAGAGGGAGACCATGCCCGCAAGAAGCACAGACAGCCAAACAGAATTAATCCTCCCACCAGGAAGATGTCAACCGACCAAGGAAATTTATGTTCCCTGCTCAAACAAACCACTGCCATGCCTACTGCATCTCAGGGATATAACATTACCAGTAGTTAGTTGCACCTCAAATCAACAGTCTGTAGTAGGAGATTCTTTCAAGAACATAGCACATATCACGTGGTGCTGGTTCCTTTATTCTATTTTTAGCAAAGAGAGAAATGGCACTAGACATGTCAGCTAATAAACGAAGAACCAGAGCAACCCTCCTACAGGGACACACACACTTTATAACCAGAGTACTCTCCCACAGCTGCAGGATGCATCAGAACTCTGAAGTTCATCATGGATTAATCTAGGCTTACAGAGAGGATGGTGCTGGCCTTCAGTACTTTTAACACATGCATACGGCATGGTTCTGGCAAAGCAGAAACCTTCCAGAAGCCCTACACACACATATGCCCTACTCATTTCTTACATCCAGCCACTGCAAGTAGCCATCCTCAGCGATGAAAGATCTGCCTCTGGATTTCCCTGTACCTCATTTCCTCACTGCCATTACCCGAACATCACTCCTCCAGTGTGGAGCTGGACAACAAGGAAATAGTACGAGAGGAATGAAAGGCAAGACTAAGTGAGTGCCTCACACGGGCTCTGCACATCCTGCAGCCTGAAGCCATCAGAGTCCCATGGAAAAAACAGCTTGTGAATGCGTAATCGTACACTGCATAATGTGCATGCACCAGGAGTGGCACACACGTACTCGAAGGCAAGAACTCTCTGCTTACAAGTGCTCAACGCTACAAACCAAATGACCCTAACATAGTTTGTGGGTAGCAACTAAAAAAAAAAAAAAAAACCAACAAAAAATCAAAGCAAAAGCCAAGAAACACGGCTACACAAAAAAGCAACTTCAGCACAAGAAGTCTGTCAGGAAAAAGTCCACCTGCTCCAATTCCTAAGCAACCGAGCTTAAGACCTACAGCACACAGTCCTTGCGTGGCTGCACACAGCCTCCCCAGCACTGGAGCCTGGGCCCAATTCTTTCTCCAACCCCATACAATGCCGTCCAGGGCCTCTATAACTTGCAAAGGCCAGGGAAGTGCTAAAGACAAGCTTGTATCAAGATGGTAAAGAAAAAAAAAAAAAGAAATTAAAAAACAACTGCCCATTTCAATTTAAATGGTGACAACCCAACACCAACGCCATGTGCACAGGGAAGCAAGCCACCAGCTGCCCACAGTCACTCTACCATCACTTCTGGAGCAGAAATAAGATCCAAATTTGCTTCTCTCCAACACAAAATCTGGCAATAGCTGGCGGGAGCACGGGCGAGCTTCAGTCAACCTTAACTAAGATTAACTCAACACTTAAAATAGTTTCACTTTAGAATATGCACATCCCTCTTTACAACTGAATGCTACCTGAGCAACCTCTCCCCTGTTTGGTGCAGCGGATGCCAGGGCTATTAACGAATCCCCATGCAAAACAATACCTGCCAGCCACCCCACTTGCCCAGAGTCATTACTTAAATGCTGACCTTTGCATCCCACTAAAGACTAAACCAAGTGCTGTCCCTTCTGCTGGAAGCACTCTTGGCATTTTGGAAATCAGCCTTTTCAAAGTCGAAATGATCCGCGTGAAAAATTCAAAGCTTGTAAGGGGCAGACACAGAGGTCCTAGACACATGCACACTTTGCTCTTGGCGAAACAGGAAGTCTGAGGAGCAGTGGGCACACTCAAAACCGTGAGCTTCAAGAATAAAAGCTCGGAGAAAGCCCTGCTGTAAGGTGGAGGAGCTTTATCATCAGGCTAAGTAAAAGGGATTATCTGAAAAAGTAACAGCCACCCTAAAACTAGCAGTACAAGACTCCCAGGGGTTCATGGTTGCTGTTTTGAGGTGATTTTTTTGTTTTACGTTTCAGCAGGCTATCAAAAATAGTTTATTCTAGTTACCCAAATACAAATGAGACCAGAATTAAAGGTCTAAATGAATACACAATCTGAAAAGCAAGCCTGGTTATTTCTAGCTACTATGTCATGTTCAACAACTAAAAGATTTTTAACTGTCATTAGTATATTGGCACAGAGAAAAAACCCTGTCTCTTGCCATCTCACAAGCAGCAGGGCTAAAATGAAGGACCACTCAAAACAACCTGCATTTGCTTATTAAAGGAAGGTGCAAGACTCAAGGAGCGAAGGATCCCAGGCTGGTCAAAAGATGCTTTTCTTGTGTTTTTTTTTTTTTTCTAAATGCAGCTAGGCTTTTAAGTCACCAGAGCAATTCAGTGAGGCTAATGTGATACTAGGGCAAACAGGAAGGCAGTTTTACTGAAAAGTCAAGCCCTCGTTGCATATTCAAATAACAGGTTCAATCACTGAGAGTTCTGTCACAGTACAAGCTGCAGTTCCGTGGAGCAAGTTGTAAAGCCACTGACAGCAGACGCAAATGTTGTGAAAGTACCTCTGCTAGCTTTCTGTCTGTGAGACCCTCCCACAACCGCATCACCGAGCACGTCTGCTGAGAGATCCCCACTTTGCTCTGCAAAACAAAGATTAGTACATGCACAAACCTCAGACCAACAGCAGCCTCTCACTCCCAAAGACTGAGTCTCCACAAGGAGATGGATTCTTCCCAAGGTACACTCAAGAGGATCTGCGATCCAGAGCTAGAGCTCAGCCTAACCGTGCCACGAACAAACTGAGCTGCTGTCAGCATCTTCCCAAAATCGCCCCTTCCGTGGGCACTCGGTGACAAGTGCTGCCCCACCTCCCAGAGCACACAGCACTGTCTGTTCCCGAATGAAGACAGGTGAGAGCAGGTATTCCTCCCCAAGTATGCACCAGTAGCAGCTGGCCAGCATCAATGGCTCTACTGAAATCAAACAGAGCAAGACAGTTTTGGTGTCCCATGCTGTCGTGAGTCAATTTTCACACCCCGCATGAAGTAATGCTTAAAACCCAGAGTATCCTCCGGTAAGAAATCTTAAGTTTGCAAAAACATACTTAAGAAAGACAAAAGAAAAATTATGGAAGAACTGCAGGAAGCATATGTACATATCTGAAAATTAAAAAATCATGCTGAAAACCATCCAAAAATTATACTTGTATTCAAAAGCACACTATACAAAAAAAGCTGACTGCACCTAGCTCCTTTCAGAACTCTGAAAAGTTCAGTTTTGTTTCTTTTTCAGTGTGTGCGAAAAACTAAAGGAATCTGTGAGTGTAGGGAGAAAGCAGAAAGAAAAAAAA